TATTTTTATTGCTTTAAATGACTTTAAATCTCATTTAAGTGTTATCAAAAAGCATTACTTTTTAAAAAATTAAAAATAGTCTAAAAAAAACCTTAAAATGTCTAAAAATAGTAACTTTATGCCAAGAATGGAACTAAATGGAATCAAATGAGATCACTTTCTCATTTTTTTCAAGTCATGATTTCATTTTAAGATCTGATATATAGTCACTTTATCTGTTTTTTTGATAGCCAGTCCCAGCGGGATTCACGCCAAGAAATGTATGAGACCAGATCAAATGAAATCAAATGTGAAATTCATGATCTCAGCGGCCAGTCTATATATATTCATCTTCAATAACAGATACTGCTGCTAATCTTATAGTAAGAGTGATAACTTCTTCATTTATTCTTAAGTCTTAATCACCTGCTATATAATATATTAACTCTATCTTTTTCTCAAGATTCTTCTGATGAAACTCTTCAGATTTCTCTATCACTGTCTCTTTATTAGTGAGATTGTTCTCTCAGTTGTTCATGATATTCAAATAGCAAAGTATGAAGATCTGGTCTCAACTGCAGTTTTTATTAATATACAGGAAGCATTTGATCATGTTTCAAAGTCAAAGCTAATTCAGACATTGAAGATGTTAAAACTGCCACTTTCTCTAATAAAATGAGTTAACTGTTTTATGTTTAAAAGAATTATACAACTTTTCTTTGATGAAATGAAACAAGACAAGACTGAGATAAAAATAGAAGTACTACAAGAATCTTCAATCTCACTCATTTTATTTGCAATATACACTGCATATCTATTCAAGAATAGAAATATGAGAATAGTGAGATCTCTGAGTTATGTGAATGATATTGGTCTAGTCTACAGCTCAAAAACTATCAAAGAGAATTTGAAAGTGATTGAAGAAGCTGCAAAGGAGGCCCGGTGGCGTAGTGATTAACTACGCTATCATGGAGCCCCAATTAGCGGCCTTCCCCCCAGGGAATGAATGTCAAGAGAGGGCAGGTTTGAACCCTGTGAGAGCCATCTTAATCACAGCTTTCACTGTTAAGTTATAAAACAGTACCAGGGGCCCCCGGGTGCACTATAGCAAATCATTGTCAAGCTTAAGATGTCCATTCCAGGAGTTCCCAGGCGCTAATTCTCACTGATCTTAGGATTAACAGCCCCTCAGGTGTTTCAAGTTAGATCAGTACTAGAGTGATTGAGGTCTAGAGTGTCTGCAGAATAGTGAATCATTGTCAAGCTTAACTGGCCAGGTCTCATCTCTCTCACTCTAGACACTCACCTTCAGAGAAGAAGATTTAAAAACTATCTGATTAGAACACTCTGAGCCTAGCAAGAATCTAGATGAGATGAGACCTAGATGCTCTTAATAGGTGATTAGTATAAGCAAGACTGTGACAGCTAATTGATAGACTGAAATGCTGAGATTGACAGCTGAAAGATTAGACACTTAACTAGAATTGAGTAGCTCTGATGTTATTCTTAGTGAGAATCTCACTTATGAATAAGCTAGTTACAGGAGCTAGCTGGGCGGCGGCCCTTTAGAAGAAATGATAACCCCTGGAGCGGGCCTGAGAGGACAGAGGCGGCAGTCAGTTATATAGAATGTTAAAATATGTATATAGCTTAAGGTGTAAACTGCAGAGATCTTGTTCTATAGCTTTCTTTACTGTACTTGTTTTCTTCTGTTCTTTTCTCTATCTATTTAATATGTCTATTTTTAAGACTATGTTCTCTTTTCTTTTGTCATAATATTTTCAAATGATTTCAAACTATCAGAAGGTGTTGAAATACTGTAATTTATAAACAGTTTTTGTATTCTGAGCTGGAATTTTCTGATTTTGCATATTTAAAATTGATAAATGTATAATAGTTGACTCTATAGATATAGGAAAAACTCTGAGAACTAAAGATTCTCAGGTAGATGTCATAGTCTCTGACTGCATACATCTATAATTGAAGAATAATAATAATAATAAGCTGCAAAGAAAATCTTTGTTAGAGCAGATATCAATCAAATTCAATTTAATATGAATAAAACTGAGTTAATTCATTTCTTTCCTAGATTCAATGAGAGAGAACTGTCTCTATCTCTTTTAAATAGAGAGATTAAACCCAGTGTAAATGTCAAATAATTAGAAGTATGGTTAAACTTCAAGTTGAACTTTAAATATCACATTCAACAAAGAACTGTCAAGGCAGAAAGGCTATTGAACAACATAATCAGACTATTAAATACAGAGAGAGGTCTATTCTTTCTAGACTGACTGTGTGACCGTGTCTGAGACCAGGATCAAACTTTACAGTTGTCACATTGCCTAAAACAACCGCTCCACCACGAACTCGCTCGATTTTTCGAATAAGAACCCGCCGATAGATCCATCGAAAAGCCCTCGATCATATGAGCATTCTGACCCCATCGCCGACCGCATACCCTGTGTGGTGGTGGAGTTATCCAGCCAAATGTGAACCGGACGTTGTTCGAAGCTCCTGTGTGGGATTATCCCCCGTTCTCCCCTACCACACCACAACCCTGGGCCAGAGTGCCATACAAATTGTAAGGTGAAGTGACCTAGCCACATGCACCAATCTTCTCAATTTTGGAAGATCCCCGACCTGTAGTTGTGGAGATATCTGAGGAGCGACCTCCACGAAAACCCTGTCCATCTTTGATGTTTCAAAACACCAACGCCAAGTCTCACCCTCGTACCGCCCTTCCCAATCTGGCCCATCCCCGGCAGAAAAATACAAAAAGATACCTCGGCGATAATATCAAGCACATAATCAATGGACTCTTCTGAAGTGCAACCTTCACGGTCCGTCGCCAGTGTATCTAGACTTCAACACCAAGTCTCACTCTTGTACTACCCCTCTCAATCTGGCCCATCCTCAGCAGAATGATACAAAAAGATACCTCAGCAACAGCATTCAATACATAATCAGTGAACAATGAGTTAACAGCACATCAACAACTATAAAATCAGTATATTTCAAGATCTGACTGAGCCTTTGATCTCTGCACAGTGAGATATATTAAATCTAGTTTTAATATCTCAATATTCAATAGATTCTGTAAGAGATTGAGAACAGCAACACTAGATTTCTATTAAATTTGAGAATTAACTCTATATTGATATAATCATTGACAAAGTCTTCTATTTTAAGATATAAATAATCAGTTTCTTTACATCTCACTGACAATATTTACATTATTATATAGAAACAGACTTATATTCTCTATAATATTAAGACTCTGAAGAGAGAAAGTCTTGATAGAGAGTATACAGTAGTGCATATCTTAGCAGTTTCTATCTCATTCTTCTACAGTAGTTAATGTAAAAAAAAAGATCTTAGAAATAGTTTTTTACTTCTCTTGAAAAAGTAAGGTGTTTTTCTCTGAGTTTTATACAATATTCTTACAAAGAATTAAAAACAGAGTTGTTTTCTGTCATAATTTCATATTCTTTTAAGTAAGAATTACTTTTTCAGTGACTGAAGAGCTTTCATTAATACTTAATTCTCTTTTACACTCTTTATTGACTGATTTGAGTTGCACACTTGTTGTGTGAGAAGAATTGAATGATTTAGAATAAAATTGAATAGTTTTAATCAATTTCTCTGCAAAAAATTGACTTATTTTTTGTCAGTTTTTCTCTCAAAAACTGTCATATCATCTGATTTATTATCAATTGATATCATACTTTTTCTCACTGTATTTCAAGAAAGAGTTTGTAAAGATTTTATTGATTTATCTTAAAAATCACTTTTAGTTTATTAGATTCTCTTCAAAAATCTAACCTAGTTACTGAACTAGTGTGAAAAAAAATCAGGTATTTTATACACAAAAGTCTTTCATTCTTCTTTTGAAACAGTCTGACTAACTTTTCAATTGAAAATAGACTAATAAATCTCTCAACTGAAACAGTCTGATCAACTTTTCATTTGAAAATAGATTAATAAACCTCTCAATTGAAACAGTCTGATCAACTGTAACGTGGCAGAACCGAAGTGATGACTAGTCAGCGGTGACACGTAGAAGTAGTTGTTTGAAAAGCTGTATAAGTGAGCTTGACTATCTTGCTTGAATAGCGAGCTCATAGGCTACAGAGTTATTGTGAGAATATCACAGATATGATACTTAGTATACTAAGAAGATTGTATAAGACATGCAGTAACTCTTGTGTATATTTCAGTAGTAGTAAAATGAATCACTGACTTCTTTGATGAGAAGTCAGCATCTAGCTATTCTATATAAATAATGAGTGAATACTCTTCTCTCATTTCACAAGTGAGAATAGCTGAAGTGATACCTCAGCAGTGTCTCATTGTCAAGAAAGAGTAATCTGCTGACCTTGTATAGAAGCAGAGTTCTTATATTTATCAATTGAATCTTTCTATGATATATCTGAATGATGTCATAGAGTGATTGAAAACCAGTTCAGACAGAATGAAATCATTCACATGAAAGCAATGTGCTGTGTGAAACTGCAACAGAGTCTTAGCACAGCTGAGAGTGTGATAATACTCTCTTCTTTAAGAGCATAGTTTTTATACTCTCAAGATTACTGAATTAGAAATTATCTTTGTTGTATAGTAATGATTACTAATCAATTGACAGTGTATGTGCTGTGTGTGATACAAAGAAATAGATTAGTTTTTCTGCTGACTGTGTAGGTCTTTCTTTTCTCATTATCATTCAAACTAAACACATGATAAGTGAGTTTCTTATATATCAATTTAAAATGTGGAAAATGTAGTTAACAAGTGACTTACAGATCTCTCAATATATTTCATTCTATATATGAAATTCTCTGCAAAAGTGATGTATTTTAGAGATAAAGTTAACAGTAGTAGCAGGATTTTTTGAAAAGATTTCTCTCTCTGTGAAACATTTTTCTTCTCTTCCTCTCAATTGCAATAGTGAGTGCATGAGAGTATCATTCTTGAAGAACAATCAAGAGCTTATTCTGATGTTTTCTAGTGAGTAACAAATGTCTTCATGATGCAGTGGCAGCCTCTGTGACTGTCAAGAAAGCCAGGTTGAAGATGAAGACAGTAGCATCAATGAGCTGCAGAAGCATCACTTTCATTATTATATCTCCTTCTTCTCCTGCTTCTTTTGCAGCTGTGATGATAGTTGCTGTGCCTTGCAGTGAGATGTTATCTCTTTTGCTGATCAGTTCATCTATATCCAGTCTGTTTCTCACCCCTCTCACCGCCATTGCAACGCCACCCCCCCCCCCGGTCAATACAGTGATGTATGACCCTGTGTGATCATTCAGAGAGGAACTCAGAGAGGGCTTGATTCTGAGAACAGTGGCTCTGAGAAGCTCAATCTGTAGTTCCTCTCTTGCAGCATGCTCAAGCCCTGCTCAGAATACTGCTGAGTTGAGTTCACAGAATCTCATAATTTCTTTGTCTTCTCTCTATGAGAAGGCTTCAGTGCAGTCTCTGATCAGCACTGCTACTTATCTATACTGTATTAAGCAGCTGAAGAAGAAGGGAATTTTATGCATCTGTTTCTTCTCTCACTTCTGTTATTTTCATTGTATCTGTAATAATGACTTCTGTCTCTCTGTAAGTATCATCTCATAGAAAGATATCATGTCAGTTCTGATAAGAAGTCTAGATACTCAAGCAGTACAGAGCAAGAGTCTCAGAGCTTCAAGTATTGATAGATTTCATCAAGACTGAGAAGATCTCTCTTACTCATCTGTAAAAGAAGATGAAAGCATGAGTCTCTGAGATGAAAAAACATCTCAGAATGACTGATCTTAAGAAGAGATCAGCTGACACTGCTGTTAAAAGTGTTATAAAGATTAATCACTAATTGAAGAGAATCTCACTTCAGTTGAAGCAGATAACTGAGATATTTTGTAAGTTAATAAGTTAATACTTTCAGCATCTCTCATACTCTTCTGCAGTATGCTTCTCTACAGTGCTGCAGTGCTAACTTCTCAGCAGATAAAGATACTGATGCTGAAGACTTCAATGATGAAGAATGAGTTTAATGAGAGTGTAGTTGTTAATGAGTAGACTCTGAGATTCTCTCTTTTTACTTTTTCAGCAGGCTGCAGTCTCATTAAATTAGCAGCAGCCTGCAGATTGATTAATATTAATCTTTTTATTAATTTCAAATATCTCTTTCTTTTCTTATTAACTGCTTCAGGAATTTTACACTTGTGTAGTCTCATTAAACTTCTAAAAATTCTTTGAAAGAAAATAGGAGAAGAGTGCTACAGAGTCTACAAGATATCAGCTTATCATCATGAGATCATCTCTAAAAAACTCTTTGAGAAAAATGAGAAGTCTCAAGTGATATTTCTTACTCAATGTCTCTGATGTGTAACAGAACAGTCTCTACTAACTGTCTCATAGATTGCAATCTCTTTCTCAGTATTTTTCAAATACTCAAGCAGTTCTTATAAATTCTCTGATGATGAATAATCTTCTCATTTAATAAGATATTGAAGCTTACTGTAATGTGTTCACTTGTTCAATATTTTCTTCATAAGATATTCAGTATCACTCTCAATCTCAATATCATTCAGCTGAGGCAGCTCTGCTCTGAAGTATTACTTATAGAGCTTCAAATAGAAAATGTAAAAAACAGAATGAATTGATTTCAATTCTATAAATAATTTCAACTCATATGTCTGCTTACTCATCACTCTTATTACTGAGAAAGATTCTAGTCATCACTCACTGAGCTTCTTACACAGTCTTATTGTCTTGATATTCTTTGCTAAAAATAGCACTTAATTCTCTATCAAGAACTTCATTGAAAGATGTTTTCAATTGTAGTATTTCATCTGCTACTTCTGAGTATGATGAATACTTTTCACTGCCTTCTCATGAATTTTATTCAAAAGTTTCAATCTCACTTTTACTTCTGATACTGAGAAATACTCTGTTCTCTGTATCTGTCTGACATTCTGACTGTCTATTTCTCTCTTTAAAACATTGTTCACAACATCACTGAGTAATAAAGAATTATATTCATAATAAGCATAGAAAGAAGATATCTTTAAGATTACATTCTTTACATTGTTATATATGAATTCAGCAATCAGAAGATGTTTGAGTCAATCATTCTGATAATATAAATAGAACACTTGAAGATGCTGTTCTAGTGTCTGATTCTGATGTTCAGTCTGATCATCAGTCTGCAGATGAAAAGTGATACTGAGGAGATATCTTATTATAAGATGATAGTAAAAAGCTAATCAGTACTTGCTAGTAAAGAGAAATTCTTGATCTATTATCAATGATTTCAGAGCACTGTGATCACAAATAATGATATCTAAAAACAGATCAGTCAATTCAGAGGCTTTAATCTTTTTATAAGTAGAAATATATCTGATCATCTTCATGAAGTAGTTAACAATGACTAAAATTGAGTCATATTCTTTGACTCTTGTTAACTTCAGCAGATCAACTATGAAATTCATTAATAAATTCTATCATAAGCTCTTTGAAACAGGCAGTGATATCAACTCACTGTATTACTTATACTATGAGATCTTTATTCTTTGACAGACATTGCAAGTTTTAACATACTCTTTGACATCTGTCTGAAGCTTGTCTTAAGTGTATTTACATTTTAGAAGCTTCTCAGTCTTCTCTAATCTGAAGTGCTCTGTATGAGAATCATTATAATGAATTCTTAATAACTCCTAGCACATCACTCTACTATGAGAAATGAAGACTGAATTATTCAGCAGTAGAAGTTCACATTCTCCTAGTTATCAGTGACTTGATTTCTTAGTGACACTGCCTCACTCAGAGCCTGTCTCTTTCAAGTTCAAATCAGATTCTTTCTTCTTCAACTTCTGAATTCAAGCTGTAGTAGAGATGTTCCTCTTCTATAACTCATCAATGAATTTCAAAAGTAGTCAAGTTGAAAGATTGTAGACTGTTTCATTCTTTATCAATTCAATGATTATAAGATATGATATAAGAAGCTCATGATCTTCAGTGTCAGTTCTCTGTGAGAACCTGGATTCTCTTTCATCTTCTATACTGAGTTGCACAGCTGCCTCTTCAGTGTCATTTCTGAGCTTTAGAGAATCTCAATCCTCTGCAGCCAGCTTCTTCTGCAGTGATAACAGAGATTCTTTTATAGAATTCTTCTTCACATTAATAATATTATAATCAGGCTGTCTAGACAGTGTGTCAGTGAGGTTAAGCTGATCTGAACAGTATCAGATATAGAAATCATACTCTGAAAGCAGCTCTGCTCACCTGGCTTGACATTCTGTCAAGCTCTTTGTTGTCAAGAAGTAATACAGATTTGTATAATCAGTGAGAACTTACACTGAGTACTTACTATTCTGAAGATAATGTTATCAGATCTTAAAGAATTTGATAATTACTAACATCTTCTGATTATGAATATTATACCTTCTCTGCATGAGTGATAACTTCTTGAAGAAGAAGATTACTGATCTTCATTTACAGTGTCTTATAGACTCTGTGAAAAAGTCTTCTCTTACAGACAATTCATTATCTGTTTCTTCAGAAGTGATTATTCTCTAATTCTTTCAACATTGAAAGGTCTTTGATGTCAACTGTGAAAAGATTTCACAGATCTCATTCTCAGATACATCAGTCTCACACTGACTGAGTAAGTTAAGATTAAAGTAATTCAGTATTATGACATCTGTGAAAGCTTGTTTCAATTCTGCAAATGCCTGTACAGTATCTTGAGTGAGAATAAATGATTCTGTTTTTCTGTCTTTCACACTTCTCTTTAACAGATCTGTAAGAAGAGCAGTAATCTGTGAATATGCATAGATAAATCATTTATAGAAATTCATAAATTCTAGAAACATCTGCATCTCACAGTATGTCTGCAGCATTGATCAGTTCTCAATGACAGAGACTTGACTTCTGTTCATTGAAATGCCATTTATCTTAATAATATAATCTAAGAAATCAATCTTCTGCATGTAGAATGAGCATTTTTCAGTGTTTGTATAGAGTTGATACTATCTCAAGTGACTTAACACTTCTTGAACATGAATATCATATTCTTTCTCTGATTTTAAGAAGATTAAAATGTTGTTCAGATATACTATACAGAAGATATCAACAAGGCCTCACAGTGTCTTATTTATATAGGTCTGAAAGATGACTGAAGCATTACAGAGATTAAAAGATAAAACAAGATATTCAAAATTACTGTACTTAGTATAAAAGACTGTTTTTCAAACATTGTCTTTGTTAACTCTGATTCTATGATAGACATTCTATATATCAATCTTTGAGAATATCTTTGCTTCAGATAATCAATCAATCATCTTATCAATTAATGATAGTGAATAGTGATTCTTAACTGTCACCTTATTGAGGCCTCTGTAGTCTATACATAGGCATAGTCTATCATTCTTCTTAGACATAAAGAGTATAGACATCTCTGTCAGACTCTTTGATAAATGTATTCAGTTCTTTGATTATGCTTCTTCAAGATATTTGCACAGAATATTCAACTTCTTTACAGACAAGTTATAAAGAGGCCTGTATAATGCTATTGCACTATCTTCAAGATAAATCTTGTGTTGTATCTTAATATCAGGAAACTTCACTGCTTCTCTTTCTGAAAAGACATTCTTAAAATCTGTAAAGAGATGTTATATATATCTGTCTTCAATGACAGATACTGCTGCTAATCTTGCAGTGAGAGTGATGACTTCTTCATCTGTTCTCAAGTCTCAATCATCTGCTATGCAGTATATTGACTCAATCTTTTTCTCAAGATTCTTCTGATGAAACTCTTCAGATTTCTCTATCACTGTCTCTTTATCAGTGAGATAATATCATCATGCCTGAGTGACTCAGTCAATGAGAGAATTGTTTTCTCTCAATTATAAAAGATCTAGAATGACATTCTCATCTATGATATTAACTGTGTGAAGAAGCAGACTGCTCTTCTTAAAGATTTCTTCTAAGTCTGTGATCACACACTTTGCTTAAATTATGCTAAAATAATAATATTTTGTTTCATCTGTAAATTTTACATAGTCTGATAAACCTATCTTCTTTCAACTCTTTATCAAAGAAAAGAAATAGAATATGAAGTTAATATTCACTCTGAAGTTGAGTAGATATCTCACTGATATCTTCTCATTTGAGATATACATTGTGATTGTAACATGAACTCAGAGATGTGAGAATTATCAATTCTTTTCTTTCTCTTCTTTATCTTTCATAAATACATTTG